ACACAACTTATAATACCATCTTATTTACTTATACTTTTGGTTGGACCCATCGTAAATGGGTTTCTTAACTCAATTATTTACTATAGATATCCATTAATTACTACATAATACAAAGTATGCTTGCCTTATGTACATTAATCAAGTCTAACGACATATTAGTAAGTACTCGAGTAACAAATTCCATATAGATGTCATCGGCTCGTCCGTGCCGACACCGGACGCGTAAAGACAAGATTATTTCTGTCTTGTCCCACATAGCCGTCAGCCGTCGATAAAGCTGAGAATAACTACCCAATTAGTTGGAGAAACTTATGAAACAATAGCGTCGTAAAGTTAAAACTGTACCATTTTAAAGTAATGAAAAAGGTATTAACACACTCTGATAACGAAAGTAATTCGAAATTCTTGACTTTACCTTTTCCGATCTGTCCAGATTTTAGTTTGTCTTCTTTTCTACTTTAGTGGTTTATTGTGTTAAAATTCAAACTACAGTCAAACCTGAATAAGTGAGAGTCCAAAGGACTGCGATATTTTACTTGTACCATTGTCAATGGTCAACCATCGAGACCGGAAAATTGCTTATCCAGGTTTATATAATAGTTTAAGACATTATTAATCAGCATCCTTTGGCATGAATGACGTGCTTTCATTACAAAGTCCAGTGTCAGAATAAATAGTGAGGGGACATAAACCTCGGCATTTTAGTAAGGCTAGTGTTGGGTTAATATACTGCCACATTTTTGGGTTTTTTCCAACACCAAACAAACAATAGATGTTTAATATGAAATCTACAATCTCTTAGTAATCTATCTGTATCTGAAATATAAAATAAAACATATAAGAAACTTTGGTTAAAGTTTTCTACGATAAATTTATACTTTTAGGTTTTTGGCAATAAATTATTTGAGATCGACGTACAAAGGATAACAAATTGTCTATACTAATGCACCCTTGAATCATTAGTTCTAGATTTCTAGATGGATAGATTGAATTCGGAATAAATTACACTAGTAACCTGTGAGTTTATTGTCGACGATGCATAGAGTACTAAATCAAGCGACGGATAAAGCTACCAAGTATTGCACTCCTTTAAAGGAATACAACCAAGTAAGATACACGAGACACTACTGGAATAATTATCAAGGCAACAATTACTATTACATAAGATCTATAAAATCATTGTATATAATTGCAAGTTTCGCGTCCTACCAATGTCCTCTATGACCTCTAAAATTGCACCATTTTAATTTGAATTTTATGTGCATGGTTTTAACGTTCAAAATTGTAATGTAGTTTGTCCGATAAAAGTGGGTACAGTATTTCAATTACTTTATTTGGTTTTTTGGCTTACTTTAATGGTAGATACTTAGAGATAGATCTTGTTAATGTATGTATATATTTGTCAATTAGCTGTCGCCCGCGACTTCGTGCGTACGGAATAAAAAAAAACTAAATAAACAACCTGTGTGTTCTACCAGACTATGCTCTACATCTATGCCAAATTCTATTAAGATCCGTTGAGCCGTTACGGAGATAACTTCCCACAAACATCCATGTAAACTTTCGCATTTATAATATTAGTAAGATTAAAAACTTGTCTGAAGTCTTGATTAAAGTGCCCATGATTTAAGCGTTCTAAAGGAAATTTGTAACAATATTAACGTTTAAACTTTACATAATTTTCGCAATTATATGCAAATTAAATTCATTCAACACCGGCTCGTGCTACGTATGTGATTATTTTGGAATTATTTAATTTACATATCGATTATGTTCGATGTGTATCCTTCTTATCTTAAAATTTTATCATTTCCTAACAACGGAAAATACCTTCCGATTATTTTTGAAGTTTTCAAACTGTCGAATAAGTTATGTTTTTTTAAATGTATGCCAAAAATTGATGGAGCGCAGAGATATGTTGGAAAATTAAAACGCTTAAAATTTCCTGATATTTTTATTGATGTAAACTTTAAAATTACTTAACAACTAAATTAAACTTAGTACCTAAGTATCTAATCTAAATTTTTTTATAAACCATTTTTTTTAATATGGTTTTAAACTACCTCATCTTGGACAATGTTATTGCTTACTAAGAAAAATTGGAAATTCATATTATGAATAAAAGATTCTATACATCAAATTCGAAACATGTGTTCACATCTATGATAAGGTCGTTCTCTACGTTTTCTGCATACCCCATCTCATTCCTCGCCTGTAAACAGAAGCTTCTATTATTTTAACCCTTTTTGCGAAATTCAACTGTTTGACGTCGACTTCTTTATACATGTCCTGTATCTTTTTCTATTTGAAAGAAAGAGATAGCTATATGTTTCTCTACATGTCTTGTATTATTACAAAGTTAGTGAGGTGTCAAAATAGTTTTTAAATTACCTTCAATAAATTCAGCCGAGACTGCAACCATTGCCTCAGACTCGTTATATATCACTTCTATGACAAAATGTGACTGTGTCAGTATCGTACAAAGTTACTTTTTTTATTAAGGTCTAGATTACGGATGTCCTTTTGATCGACGAGAGACTGTTCAGGCTTTACCTAAAATAGAATCTTATGAATTATATGGAAACGAATACTTAAATACAAGACAACTAATTAAACTAAAAATATGCGTTGCTATATTTTCATAAAAATGAAAGCTGATACCAACCTTTGGATGTTTACTGATACATTGAACCTCTTTATTTCGATTAATCACAATTTGTTCAGATGGTGCAGATGACTTATGTTATCTATAAATTTGTCAAAAATTAAGGTTAAATCTCACACTTGTTGTTAAGTAATGTAAACGAAGTGCCAAATGATTTAATATAGCAGTAAAAAGCATGAGGTAGTAAACACGAGGTACTTTAACATAAAATATAACCTTTATTCATAGTGAGATAAGTAAAGCTCGTAGTCATGACTTTTAGTGCACTATTTCAGATGTCAGCGATGCTCAACCTTTTTATAATTTTTTTTTCTATAAACCCTGTTTTATTTATTAATAATTTTCTTCTTAATATCCTTATTTTATTGGCAGTATCAAACGTTCGTTTGACAATACCCTCATAGATTTTATTCTTCAGATAAGAATTGTAGTTTTGGAGTTTATTGTCGAAAAGCAAAGCCTACTTAGGGTCGATACATCACTAGTTAATTTAGTTTAAAAGCTTAATAGTATGAAAATTACTAACTAGTATTCGTCCATTCTTTGTTGCACATTACTATGTAAACACAGTTTGGGAGCCACTATTTCAATACGTCAATCATTTATGTCTCGCTGTGATTGTTTTATGAGTTTGATCGTTCTGTGAACGCATAGTTTAGTTGAATATCTATTAAACAATAGCAAACAATAGATAGGTTTCTTAGTTACGTTGGCGCCATAATAACTTTATTTGTAAACTAGCTGTTACCCGCGTCTCCGTCTGAATTTAAAAAAAAACATAATTAGTTGTCTATGTTCCAGATTATTTACTACATATATGCCAAATCTGAGCGAAATCTATGCAGCCGTTCGGGAGATATCTTCAAACAAACATCCATCCATCCTTCCAAACATTCGCATTTAATTAAGAATGTGTTTAGTCTAACTTGCATTGTATTTTCAATTCTATGAAAATAGTACGAAAAAAAAAGATATTTATATTTTTTATCGTATCAAATAAACACCATTAAGTGATTTGTAGTTAAACAAATAATAAAATCAGACGTAGTATTGTAAATCATAGATTAACGAGGATTTACGGTGAGCGAGTTTTTTTTTAACGAAATATTCGATCGTAAAATAGTAAAAGCGCAGTAACATTTCACTTTACGGTTCTCTATAAAATGTCGCCGTTAAAATGTCAGGCTGCAAGTTGTGGGGTGAACGAATGGCCTCCGTCGCCACACTGTCGGTGGCCGTCGTCAGAATATCTAACGCCTGTCAGACCAGACATCGATTTCAAATACATCTCAATACAATGTTTTATTACTAGTTGTCGCCCGCAACTCCGTCCGCGCACAATTATAAAAAAAAAACTTAATTAGTAGTCTATGTGTTCTTCCAACCTATATTCATAGAGATCCATGCAGCTGTTCTTGCGATACCTTCAAACGAGCATCCCTCCATCGAAACATTCGCATTTATAATATTATTAAGAATTGCAGTTCATATGTACATTTATCAGACGTTCTT